TATTACTATAAATCATTTTTGTTATGGAAATGCACATTGTTGTAACATTTTACCATAATAAAAGCTGTTCACAAAGAATCACTATCAACTGAACTCTGCTCATAATCTTTTTCATTAGCAATGTTTAACCATTGCTTAAATATACATTAAATTCCCGTCTATATCCTACCATCACAGCTTCCCACCTACATGTGAAGTATGTCTTTTTTTTATATACGCTTATGAACTATATTGGTATTCCATTATTTCATTTATTACTTATTGTTCTATATGTGTGTTTATATTTAATAGTATATAAATTTAATCAAAAATATTAAACTTTACAAAAGAAAATTTTAAAAAAGAAATGAAATTAATCACTTTTATTACTAAACAGATTATTTAAATATGGATAAGAAAAATCACATAAAACAAGCAACATTCGTTCCAGAACGATTATTAAAAAGCTTATATTTGTTTTTAAACACCAAAGGGTGTATGAACTATAACCTCTAACCTTTGAAAATGATCGTACCTCTATTATAGGCTGTGGGTGCTAAGTCTACATTCGGTTATCTATTGTTTAATTAAATTTGTATATTGTTGTTTACAATTTGTAAGTTATTACTTTATTTGTTTTTACTAAATTAAAAGGTTTTTGATATAAAAAGTAATTATTGTAATTTTCTAAATTATACTTATATTTAAACAAGAATTAATTTATTCGTCCAAATCAATGGATTCTTAAGCGAGGGTTATTACTCTCAAATTCAGTATTAATATTATATCAATGATAATGTAAATCAAAATATTTATTTTCAGGTCACCGTTAAAAAAGCTCTTAAGGGTTTGGCTAAAACTTATTATGGTTTCGATTTTTTTAATTCTATTGAGAACAAAGGTAATCTACATGATTTTTTGAATTCACAACTGCAACATCCACGTAATACTTTAGTCAGATGCGTCTTTTCCGGAATGTATCTACAAAATGATGTGGTTTTTTTCTATTAATGTTTATTAATAGGTATACATAAACTATGTCAAAAATGTCTATACCAAACTAACATTAAAACATATAAGGTTTTGAAGCATCGGCTCACAATGCGATTGAGGTTAATGTTTTTCTATCTATAAACATGGATTATTTTAGTAAAAAAGAATAGGTATATTTAATATGAAAAGAAAACAATATACATATATACGTAATGTCATGTGTCAAGGGGTGCGGGAACTTTCTGGCGTCCCTGTGGTCCGATGAAGCTGTCGTTAAACGATGCTGAGCTGTAACTGCAGACGGTAACGGAGTTGTGACGGCGTCTGAAGTCTGCGGAGCGACGGTGTACAGAAGACGGCCCGTGTATCGACGGCGCTGTTAGCGGACGGACCAGTCACGTTTTTGCACGGTTCGAGCTGAGGGCAAACGGGTCGAGCAACCGAAATACTCGAATTACAAGATACTTGCGTACCTCAACGTGACAGCGAATGTACGTCAACGATTACTGTATTGGAAATTTGTTAAAAAACAACACATTAAAAAATTCTGAAAGAAACCGCACGTTACAACGTATGAGATTACGTCAAAACGCACGGGATTAACAAACGGAATGGCGACCGGGCGCGAGCAAGCGGTTCCTGCTTGTCGGGTGGCGTGGCGTCCACCGCAGTGGTACCAGTTTGGTGAACGTGATTCTGGTTGCCGCGCGCAATAACCTTGGCGGTAATTTTAAATGATCGAAAAGCGCAAACGGTTAGTATTCTTGAACACGTCACATTGCTGTTGTTTTACTCCTGTTTGTGTTCTTTCATGATTAATTATTAAAGTGTATTTCTGAGAAAATTTCCTGTTACATACATTGCATTCATAAGGCTTTTTTCCTATATGAATTCTTTCAAGTTTCTTTGATTTGGATTTTGAAGTATAAAGGTCTATTTACACACAGCAGTAACGTGACAATGCCGTGACTGTTCCGGGATTCCGGAGTTATTTAACAGATAAGAAAAAATTGATAATTTTCGGTTTTCCATGTCGGAGTAAACAAGTAAAGCTATTTGATGAATAAAGTGCAGAATAACTTATTATATAGTTATTACTATATATTTTCTACCAAATAATAATTTATACTACGAATAAGTATAATTCATATTTTAAGCGTAAACTTGTGGCATCTCTGGGCCAAATTATAAGTTAGGTTTCCAATTACCTTGTTATTCAAAACAATGTATATTTTTTTTAGTTTAGACCTACTTGGTACTTATACAGCCTATGGTACTTGAATTGAAGTTTTATGCAATTTTTTGCCAGCAATTATTTTTAATTTGTTTTCCAAAATATATATATTTGATAATGCATACTCAATAAACAAAATAATTTTCGCTCTAATCCTCTTCGTTGCCATTGTTCATTACAATGTATGATATATTAATACAATATGTTTATATTTGAATTTTTGGTTGTTTTAGGCAAAACCAATACATTTTGTCGTTTACTTTTATAATTTAATTAAGTAGGTATACATTATAAAATATTATATTATTTAATTAATGACTAATAGAAATTAATTTGAACAATAATAAAAATATATATTATATGATACTATAACGATATGGTGCTATGTCTGTTGTAGATGGAAGGTCGCTATGTAAAGTTATTAAATTTATATAGTATGTCAACAATTAACCATTGCGAACAAAAACGATTCTGAGCCAAGTTCAATTATACACAATTAGAAATGCTGTTATTTCTATAATTTCTAATAAATATTATCCTTAGTTACGAGTACTGTAAAGACTATTCTATGACAGTACTATAACGGAAGGAGTAGATACTGTTTATACACAATTAATTAATATTTATTTATGGAAGCTAAGGGTATAAACTGTTTTCACTTATTATTGGAATAATAAATGACTAACTAATAACTGGTTGCAAATGTTATCATTATTAAAATATCAATATAGGTACCTAATTATTCTGTGAAATTTGCATGTATTTATTATTATTTTTAATAAAATTTAAAATAATGAAACAATTATTTCCGTAAATATGGTATGGAGATCAATGTTCTAGCAGCATAGAGTTTTATTTTAAACATACTAAATATAAAGTAATAATGATATATATTAGAACAGGTTGCATCTATATGGTGATATAAAAAAATAATTTAAATTTCCTATTTACTTTCCTAGTTACATAGATTTGCGGGTAATAGCATGTCAAATCTTGTTTAAATATAGTGTAAGGACTGATATGTTGTGTTCATTGCAGTCTTATATTAACCTATAAGTTTATTTGTTAATCACTAATTTACTATTACTGTGCTCAAAGTATTTAAAAACTATAACCTTTTTGTTCACTTATAATTCAGAATTTTTTTTTAAATTATTATTTTAACTTTATTATTATTTAGTTTATCATTATTTAAAAATGAGCAATTCTAGTGTGATTTGGGATTATTTTCAACTTGACCAAGATAACATTAATGTTAAATTTGGTCTTTGTCGTATAAAATTAAAATATAATCGTTCTTCATTATCTAAATTAGAGAAATAATAAGAACTTATAAGAAATATGAAATCTAAATATCCCGTTGTTAACATAGTCAATAGAAATGTGCGTGTATTAGAAGAAACCATCAACGACCCAAACCATGCGCATCAACCTCTACTACTGTAAGTTAAATTAAAAAATATTTTTTGAAAAATAGTATAATTTTAAACAGCTATCAGATTTATTTTGGTTGTTATATTTATAATTTAAACATTTTTAGAATTATTATTATTAATTTCTATTAAAAAATTACAAAAATTTCTATTAAAAAATTACAAAATAATTACTTTTCTAAATAATACATATTATATATTTTTAAATAATACATATTATATATTTTTAGAATACAACTGTTTCTACAAATAATTTTGTGGTAAATTTATCTGTAATATCTTCACAAATTCCATCACTCAATATTTATCTAAGCCAGTAAGCATGTCTCGTCATAAAATTATAAATCAGCAAGTTCTGAAAATGATCGTGAAAGAGTATTATCCTATAAGTATTGTTGAAGACAGAGAGTTTGTGAAGCTTTTAAATTTGCTAAATCCCAGGTACACACTTCCGTCCAGAAAAACTTTGACAAAATCATTATTACCTGTAATGTATAATGAGGTATATGAATAAGTGAAACAAGACTTACAAGAATATGCAAAATATGTTAGTATTACAATCGATAGTTGGACTTCCATTAAAAATGAAATTTATATTGCAGTTACATGTCATTTTATCGATAATGAATGTGAATTAAAGTTATATCTTCTTTCTTGTTTTAAAAATTCTGAATCACATTCTTCAGGAAAAGTGAAAAACGATTTATTGGCTGTTATAAATAAATGGGACTTAGAAAAGAAAATTGCTGCATGTACAACTGATAATGCTTATAATATTGTCAATGCTGTTAATTTTTGTAGATGGAGATATGTAGGTTGCTTTGCTCATAGTTTGAATTTAGCAGTACAAACAGCTCTTAAATCAATACTTGAAACTAAGGAAAAAGTAAGAGGGATTGTTGGCCATTTTAAAAGAAGTCCACAGGCAGCGGAAAACTTTAAAACCATGCAAGAGAAATTAGGGTTAACACCACCTTTAATGCTCATTCAGGATGTCATAACACGTTGGAACTCAACATATGAAATATTCCAACGAATTAACAATCTTAAAGTTCCTCTTTCTTCGATCTTAGTAGAGAGCAATTATAATATTTACTTGACCAATAAAGACTGGTACATTATTTCCAAGTCATATGAGATTTTAAAACATCTTAAGGAAATTACAGTAGAAATAAGTAGTGAAAAATCTGTTGTATTTAGTCAAGCACTCCTTAAAGATTGACATACTTGGATACACAACTCTATAATTCATCTCAACTAACAAGTATGACACACATGTTAAAACAACAAGTAGAACAGAGATTTGGAACACTTGAAAAAATACAAATTGATGCTGAAGCTAAAAAACTCGATCAGAGATTCAAAAAATATGGATTCTTCGACAACAGTTCATTTTCTGAAGGAAAAAAAACAATAATTAGTAGAGCTACTATAGTAAACATTAGAAATTTAAATAATATACAGCCGGTTATACCAAATCAAACTTCAATTTTGGGCGGAGATTCTATTTACAATGAATTTAATGAAGTGGTAAGTAGTCAGTTGAGATCTACAAATCCAACTTCTGCAGCTATTGTTGAAATTGATAAGTACCTTCAAGAAGGATTAATACCAAGGCATGAAGTCCTTTAAAATGGTGGAAGGACAATCAAAATGTTTATCTATGTTTATTTGAACTTATGAAAAAACATCATTGTGTAGTTGCAACATCAGTTCCATGTGAAAAAATATTTTCTAAGGCAGGGCAAACATTGATAAAAAAAAGAAGTAGGTTAAGTAGTAAAAATTTCGAAAAAATGATCTTTATAAACATTAATTCAAAATAGTGTGCTTTTAATACTTTTATAAGTACCTATTATTTAATTATTTAATTTTATTTCCTTGATTTGAAAACAATGAAACATTGTATGGACATATATCCTATAAAATAAATAACAAAAATACATTTAAAAAAAATGTAGGTACCTACTCAATAAAAATATGCATTTACTTACTTAGGTAGGTATATCATAATAATATATACTAAATACTTATAGGTACTTTAATAACTATTGTATAATGTATTAAATATCTTTAATTTCTTATACTTCCGGTAATATCGTTTTTTCAAACATGAAACAAGAAACTTATTCCAAACAAACACTAACGCAAAATGTATTAAATTACTAAATGACTTGCAACAATTGCAACGTGCTTCTACTACATAAAAATATTATACATTTATATCATTCAATATCAGTATATTATTTGTTATCTAATACCTATGCATTTTACGTTTTAATATCATCACAAGTTGCTGACATACCTATTTAATTTATCATAACTTAACGTCATGACACCACATGTCATTACACAATATTATTACACAAATATTAATAGAATTTCATATTATGTATATTGTGGCATAGCAGACGGTATAGGCAAATTGTCGGACTGATAACAAACTTCCGCGATTCGTGAATCATTGTTTTGAACCAGTGGTAGCACTGAGTCACTGAGTCACTGAACTATGCCACACTGAATCAATTCATTCCGTTCACCAAAAAGAACTGCTTCGACTTAACTCACTCATTATACTCACCTCTATTAATTAGTATGTAACAGTGACTGCCGCGTAGTGGCGTCGTCTATCTCCGTCTGTCGCTATACGTATAGATCAAATAATAAAACGTTTAATGGCATTAAAAATTAGTCAACATTATGAGGATCGAAACTTTAAAAGTGATACTTATCTTATAGTGAAAAACTTGAATTAAAAACAACGTCTACCTAATATTATGATAAGCAAAAAAAAAAATTACCCATTTATTTGAATGATAACAAATAAAACAAGTGATTAACACGCAGAACGCTATGCAAAAGAGGACCCCACACCGACGTCTACGGTCTCAATTATATAAATGCGAGATAGCAAATTTGCGTTCAATAGGATACATTTCGTATTGTTAGATTTAATATTAAAGCGAATTGCCATATTACCAAAATTATTGGTAAGATTATATGCGCACCAGCGTTGGTGATTTTTCGATTTGAATTTTTAAATGAGATATGAGTATGTTAAATATCACAATTTAAAAATGATTATATCTTGCTT